CGGAGGCTTTCTTCCCCCTCCCCGCGGGCACGTACTACTACTAATTATCTTTTTAAAACATTAAGGCAAACAGCAGGCCATAGGGGTCTGTTCCCATTAAACTTAAACGTCAAGGGGGGGGGGGGAAGCAGCAAGAAGCAGAATATTTATACATTTATTTATAATGAAAGTATGGTTCTAATTATTTACAACACGTAGGAAAGAGCGTATGTTTATACAGGTGAGCCAGCAAGGTCCTCCAGTGTGCATAAAGGACACACCTTCCCGTTTCTCAAACTATTACTCCTGTCTTAAAAGTTGACCAGCACCTCTTCACAGTCCCACGCTCCAGTGGATGCACACATCATTGTTCTCAAAAACAAAAAAAAAAAGGAAAAAAGAAAGAAAAAAAAGTTCTGCAACAGCCAACAGCCTGCCCTGGCAGGAAAGGCCGTGATGCAGCGCGTGTCCATAAGCAATCCAACAGCTTAATTCAGAGGTTCCACTTCTGTGCTCCAATGCAATAACAACGCTTGCACTCGGGTCTCTGGCAATGTATACACCAGGTTGCTGCATTTCTTTGTTAAACCACCATGAAACAAAACTGGTAGAATCAAATAAGTGAATGAATTAAGAGTGAGAGAATCTTGGGAGAACCTCATGAGAAGTACTTCCATTTGAACTGCTGAATGGAATGAAATGTACAGGGATAATTTGAGAAGATTAAGTACCATGGATAAAGTACCAAGTCCACCTAGGGAGTAGCGGCAAGATGAACTGATTAAAAAAACTGAGCGTTTTTTTTCCCCCCCCCGATGACATTTAGCTAGAACCAAGAGTTATGGAGTTAGTAGAAAACACGTTTAAAAAAAGAAATGCTGAATTACAGGAGATGCTTAAAGTAAAAACAAATTAGGAATTTTAGGAAGCGTGATCCCCAAATTTTTCAAAACTACTGAATGTTCCTTTCTTTGTTGAAGTCCAAACATTGAATCCGTGGTCAGCATTAGCTCAATGGGACTGCAAACAAGCTGACAGCAGGAACACTGGATAAGATACGAACACCAGATGTATAATGAAGTCAGCATTGCTGGCTCTTTCCGTTTAAGTTATCCTGGAAAGATGGGGAGCACAGGGAGAGACAGGCTTCCCTAGCTTCTCCTTATAGTACTTCCCCCATTTTATAAGGGACTTCCCATGCCAAAATAGTATTTCAAGTATTTCTCATCATTGACAAATCCACCGCAGGAACAAGGATTTAAAAAATAATGGAGCCCTTTCAAGAGGGAATACTGAAGCTTTAGCTTCTGCAAATGTAAAAACAATGCGTATTTGCAAAGTTCATTGTTTAATATACATGCATTATTGCTAGAGGGAAAAAAAAAGACATATGAAAATTGTTCTGTAGCCTTTATGGTGCCATCCAAAATGGCATCTGTTGTTTAGCTCGCTGTTGTGAAGAAGGGTACTGGTATCCCAAACTCCATCCCTGTGAAAAAGTACTTGCATTTTTATGGCCACCATGTTCCTCCTCTTCATCTGATGAATCTCCAGCATATGCCACCAATCCGAACCCCTTTTCTGCAGTTTTCATCTTCTTAGCTTGATGATCTAGGAGGGGAAAACAAAACAACCAAACCCCAAGAAAAAAAAAAAACAAAAAGAAAAAAAAGAAAGAAAAAGAGAGATAAAATTCCCCCAAACAAGTTAATTAAAAAAAAAGTTAATTGTAAATTGTTAGTTGGACACCATTTTGAGGTCACAAGGCCAATGGTCACCCAAGGTCGAAGGCCACACGAAACAGCACCAGCAACAGCACATGTGATCCATCAGAACCATGTAAGAGAACAGAGAAAGAAGAAAGAAACACACAAAAAAGGTAAAGTTAGCAAATGGGTCTAAGCGGTAGCAATTTCACCGTTAAAGAGATAACTATGTAAGAAAAGTAGAAATTTTGTTCAAAAGAAATTTAACAGAAGAGCAATCTCTGGGACCAATACTGCAGAAAAACTAAGGTTAAAACAGACTAACGTGACGGGCCTGCAGACCTAATGTGAAGGCGCTATTCAACTACTAGGAGATGTAGTGATCACGTGTTTTCCTCAAGTTACAAATAATTGATGTATGAAAGCCCTATGAAAGGATGAACTCTAACAACACTTCTGTTGTTTGCAGGCAAGGTGGACATAACTCATGTCTATAAATGCACACCTGAACCGTAACTCCCACAGATGTTCCTTAGTGCCTCTAGAGACAGCCTTCACAATGTAAAGCCACGTGATATCTGTGTTACAAAACAACCCCATGAGATTGTGCCTCAGTGGACTGAGAGGACAAGAATCCCAGTCTTTTCTCCTCCACTTAATCACCTCCTCACATCTTCCATAACAATACTTTTTAAAGTATATAAAGTTTTAAGAGAAGCACCATGTGTGTATAGTCAAAGTGAACACATATGATTTTTTGAGCAGTGGAATATGACCTCTCTTTCACTTAAAAACACACTGTAAAGAAAAAACCCACCAATTTGTTTAAATCTATGTAAAGATCAGAGCAAACTTGTCAAGTTCGCTTTTCCACATAAATCTGTTTTATTCACTACACTCACCATGGTTGCCTGGTAAAGACCCCGCACCATTTCTTTCTTCAGATTCCGATTTCATCCCAGTGACAGGAAAAGCTGGTGGAGGCATCAACTGCCTGTTTAAACCAGTGCAAGTACTTATTATTTCTAAAACAAGCATAGAGTCAAAGGTCGTTTTATTTTTAGGCAGTCTGCATTGCTTTACGGTGCAAACAGAAATCAGTCCCTGAGTGGAGTGGTTTAACTTTTAGTTGCTCTCATTGCATTTGGTTTAAAAAAGAAAAAAAAATCAGGATGACAGATTAAAAACGGATAAAGGTTGCAGCAAATAGAATGTGTGGTTCCCTTTTATACACAGCATCTCAAAATCTCAAACTTAATGTGCATAGACAAAAACGTGAAATATGGGATAAGGTACAGTTTGAGCTAAAACTCTTGACAGAGTAATCAAGTTACATGATGATCCTTAAGAAACAGTCTCTTAGATGAATTTGGGACATCTATCACTGGCTCTGTAGCTGAATCTCCTTGTTATTGCCAGTTCTCTCATCCCTTAGGGGCTGTAAAAACCACAGGTCAGCTTTGAAAACTCCCCACATGAGTAATAATACAACTTTCATATTTCACCCTACCTCTTATATTTTAAGATAAGCTTTTCTTCAGAATCAAAGATCCGATCATAATCCTTTCATCACTTACCTGTCCCTCTCTCTCTCCTTTCCTGAGGAACTTGCTGGCTTCGATCCTGCTCCATCGATTTCACTCTGACTGGAGAAGCCTGTACCTAAATTAGTCATATGAATGGGTCCATGCTATGAGCAGAAAAACACACGGCATTAGCAAATCTACAACTATAACATAAGCTATAGCTCCTTAACGATAATGATAGGAAACCCAACTTTTCAGAGTATATTGCCAACTATAGAACAAGTTAAGTAGTTCCTGACTACTTAGCAGCCACCAAAAAAACGTAAGCTGGCTATTAAAGATATGGAAGAAGCTACTAATTGCCAGTTTTAAACAAAATGCTTTGTCCTACTAATACTGAAAAAGCTAATCTGGTGCTCAGGCATGTTTCCAGCTAAGATGGAAGAGACCTCATTGACTAGTCCATCTTCCCAGTAGTTCAGGACAGAGAGTAAGTCAAATTTGCGAACTAAGCAGCTACCTCCTCAATCAGCTAATTCTCTATGGTATTTAGACCTTACGCCACAATAAACTCTGCTGAGACACTAATATTACATCTTATATATAGGCAGTTACTTATTTTCTCTAGGCAAATCTTTTACTAAGGGTTTCTGCCTAAGGCCAGTTAGGTAAAATTCCACAACGACAGTTTAGAACGATGAGGTGGAGAGCATGGCAGGGAAGGGGAGCCTGCAGGAAGAGGGAAAGGAACTCCCTTTTACTAATATACAAGTCTGAAGAAAAACTCAAAGTTACTTTATTAAAGAAAATAAACAAAAAAGCCTACAGCTGTATTAAAAAAAAAAACCCACCATACACACCACACACACACTTTGGCTATCTAAAAAGCCCAGCCCATTAAAATTAGGCTTCTTGTAATCCTCTCAAGTGCACCCTGCAGGGAAAGGTAGCTGGAAAATCTAGAGGTAACCACTACATTCACTTCCCCCTCCCCAACAAGCCCACTGACAAGGCCCACAAACAAACAAAACCCCCAAATAACCTCCCCCTAAACTAACCATTGACACCCTATTGTCATCTCTTTGGCCTGAAGGGACTGCTTATCTTCATGAAAGAATGCAGGTAAAGAAAGCAAGCTACCAATGAATCAAATAAGGGACTGTTTAAAAACAGTGCATCTGCTCAAAGAAACTGAAGTGTGGTATCTCCAGATTTCTTAACAATTACTACCATCTGCCAAAAGTCTTGCACCTCTGTTTTAAAAAAAAAAAAAAAACAAAAAACACTGACGACCCCTCTCTAGCAAAGTTTGGTTTTGGCGTTGGAAGTAAAATTGCTGATTTTATTCAACCTGATATCCCAGCAGTCCTGATTCTCTTTCATCTGGTAGCTCCTCAGTGAAGCGTCTCTTTTGACCTTGGGAGTGGGGCTGGACTTGTGGCTGTGTACCAGCAGGCAAGGTTGTTTTTACTGGGGCAGCAGGAAGAAAAGGACCACTCAGTGGACTCTGGTATGCATAAGTTAAAAAAAGAAAAAGAAAGAAAAAACAAAGTATAAATTCAATGTGCAGATTCATATATAGCATCAGAATACACATTTAGTTTATAGAATGCTTCCACCTTAAAGCAGTCACTATATGTAATTCAAGCTCATTTTACCTACATAACGGTATCACAGTCAGCAATAACACTTTTCATAAATGAGTGATTTCACCCCAAACATCCTTTATGTTAATAGGTAGCTCTCAAAAAAATGCAATAAGCAGCAGCCATAGCAGCAATTTAGTTCCTTAGATAATAAGAGCATGAGCAAAGCCATAACCAGAGAAATTGTTTATGCATGCCCAAAAGAAGAATTTCTTGACCTATAACTGCTTTAAGTATTTCATTGTTAGTAAAGAAACAGCTTAGTAAGCTGACAACTATACACCCAAGTAATTTATCTGTGGCACTACCTGGCCAGTGCTGGCTGGAGGCTGTACTTGAGATATTGGATATTGTGTTGGCACAGGTGGAACTCCTGTAGGCAATGTTGTTAAGACTCCCGGTGCCAATGGTACTGCAGGTGGTACTATGCCTGGTACACCATACGGTGGCTGAACCGGTTGTTGAGGAGGGGGAACGACAGGATAACCAGACTGATAACCATTTGAAGGATAATACGATGGCTGAGAAGGTACACTGTTTATAGCAGCAGGTTGTGCAAAGCCTGGTGGGTGGGGGAGGGGGGGAAAGGGAGGGGGTTACTTTCAGTTCAGTTAAATTCACAAAAACGTTAAATTTATTACCAAATGTAAAAGCAATTGTGCTGCTTTTCAATTAAAGGCATAAACAGAAAGACTTCTACATGTCAAGAACTCTACAAAACCTAACTCTAAGTACAGTGCCACAGACAACACAACTCTAAAGACTTGGTTATTGCTAGCGTTTACCTGCTAAAGGTACTGCAGTGGTTATCTGATTCACAAATCGAGAGTATTCAGCATGAACCTACAAAGGATGTTCAAAAATGAGAAAATAAGCATCTATTTACTACATTAACCTTTTGCAGACAAAGGGCACCATATATCCCCATAAAACTTGCCCTAAAAGAGGGCTTTGACTATGGAACATACTACACTCAAGGACACAGTAACAAACTAAACAAGCAAATGAAAGAAAACTCAGAACACAGCCACCAGTCCTGCTGTTCTCTGTGACAAGTTTGTGTAAAATACAATCAATACAGCAGGATGCTTAACTATGCGCAGAGGACATTTTTTTCCATAGGAAAGAGCAGAACGGTAGAGGAATTACTTGAGTAAAAACAAAATATTCAAAAACACAGAGCATCTAAGAGCTTTGAAATATTTTCCAAAGAGATATCGTAGCCTGTGCCAATGCTAAAACAGAATAAAAACCTGTGAGGTAGTCTGTTGTGGTAGCCCATTCGCAGAAGAAAATTTAAGAAATGAAATCTTCATCTGTGCAAGAGATTTTATAAAAATTCTGTGTCAAGTAAAGCAACCTCTTCAGGAAAAATAAAGAGATTGTGGCACTGGACAACGTTTAAAGTTAAAGCAAATAAAGAGGCACAAGGGAATCTATAGCCATCAGGAAAAAGCAGGATTACTTCATGTTCTGGTATAGTCAGACCTTTCCTTTTTCCCCCCGCTCTGCTCAGGAAGTGTTTGCATTTTTTCAAAATTCCACTACCACAGCTTCTGAGAAGCGCTTATTCTACATACAAAAAAAAAAAAAATCAGACAGCCACATTTAAGAGGAAAAACGTATTGGCAATTCACAGCACATGGAAAGTTCTGCTGTGAGCATAAAAAAAAATTCCCATTCCCCTGGGACATACTAAAGCTATGACAGACTCTGAAGTCTCATATTTGTACAAGTCCAATATGGAAGAGCTACTCACAGTTTGCAAGAGATTCTCACACAACTTTTTAGCAGCTGCCAGACCTTCTGGCTTTGGGTGACTGAAAACACAAAAATCCCTCATAAGCATAAGCTTTTTCACAAAATTTCAGAGCTACTTCTTTCAACAGCAACTCCTTGTCAGATCTTATCCCTTTAATGGGCAATCAGTCACCTCAACAGTACTCTAGTGGCTCTGCAGCTTTTAGCATGACGTAAAAGCAAGTGAAGAATATTTACCTTCTAAATTAAAATTCAAAATAGTCTAAATGCTGCAAGAAACATGCACAGAACAGTGATGTGATTAGCAGAAAGATACCCTTCACATTAACCAAAGCTCAACATCACTACATGTCCAAGGAGAACGCAGCTTTACTGTGCTTCCCCAAAAAAGCAATGTGTTATGATTAAATGGTGTGCATGATCCCTTCCCTCCCTATCTTTATCACTTTAGAAACCGCTACTAAAATAAAAGTTAACTGTTTCATCTGTATTCATTTATCCGGAATTAAGAATTTCCTACACTGAACAAATATTAAGCTACATTCAGGACTGATCATTGGGAATGTTTTTTCCTAACATCTCATACCTGATATAGATGTACATGGGTTCAAAAGCTTCTCTGCCTGATGCTGGTTCTATGCAACCTGAGCCTTTCCCACGAAGAAAGACTTTCGCACCCGTCTCAATCTGAATGTGCTGCAAGTAGGAGCAACCAGGCCCTTCCACCTTTTCTTTCACATTAAATGTAGGTACAGCATGTTCCAGACCAACAAATAATTTGTCCTGAACATAATGCATCTGTAAAAGTTACGGTAAAAGCTTATTATTTCACTCCTAGGATTAGGATATTCATTTCACCAGAGGCTAACTTATTTCTACAGCAGTCAGAACAACTGATGTCGGATGGTGCAGTCAGCCCTTTGCTCTTCTGCAAGTAGGGCTGCTCTCTCCATTCTTTTCCTTTCAGGAGGCTAGTGTTAACAGAGTCTCACTCTTCAGACTCCATCTAATTAGTCCTCCAGTTTTTACTAAGATGCACATAGACTTTTTTTGCATAAACAGCACATTACACATACATTTCGTAATAGATAAATCTTATAATCAGTGTTATTCAGTGAAAGTCACATAAATTAATTACTTACCCCTGACTGAAATGGAGGTTTCTGGCCAACTGCTGGAGACAACTGAGCAATGGGGGCTGGCTGGTGATAGACAGTAACTGTAGCTCCATTGAACGTTGGACTAGAACCTGTGGCAGCTTTCACTACTCCATTAGTAATTATCTCTTTAATTCTGTTAACAGCTCCTAGTTGATAGTACATGAAATCCAATTGTATTTCAGTAAAGAAATACTATTAATTGTTAAAATCTTAGCATTCTTCATAAAAAAAATTCACTGATTAGACTAGCAAACAAATACCGCTCTTTTTGTTAAATAAAATAAATATACTTCATGTAAACACACATGAGATTTCCAGGTGCCCATTTGCGGAAAAACATAGTAATTTTCCAGACAATCATATTAAAAACAAACAAACAGCTGCCCTATCCCCCGCACTGCCAAGCCCCATCCCGTACATCAAGACATGTTAATTTTGAAAGCAAAATTAGCTATAGCAATTGAAGTACGTTCATGCATCAAACAGAAGTGCTGAAGTAAGCAACCATGTTCCTCCTTCCCCCCACCCCCCAAGAAGTTAAAACAAACAGTGCCAGATCCAGCCAGTATCTGCTGCCCAGATTAACCAAATTGTAAAGTGATTCAGTCACATTCCCATATTTTGGGGCAGGAGATCTGCTGGCAAAAAGATCGCATCCGCGGGTATGGCCCAAAATTAGCATTCCTGGGTTCGTTCATGTAAGACGGCAACGAGCCTCAGGGTTCTTTCTCCTTACCCTGCCCTGATAAAGTTTAGCCTAATGCATGTGGGTGGGCAGTCCAGCCCACCTATTTTAGCAAATACAAAAAAATGTTTATTTTAACACAGTATGGAATTTACACCTACATAACTGAGTGAGCTAACATATGAAAAACCGCGTGCTGGCAGTGGAAATCATACTAGATACAAGCGGGCAGGCAGCAGCTTCAAAAGATAACTGAGGTCAAACTAGCGAACCGATATGCAAAACAGATGAAAAATTTAAACAGTTTCAGTTTTGCTTTCTTCCAATGGACATAGGAGGTCTCTGCACTCTTAACAGAAACGTAGATATTTCATGAAAAAGATCACCTCTTGAATGTTAAAGGGAAAAATCTCTCTGCCAACACACCTATTGTAATAGAATCTCAGCAGGGCAATGGAGAATAAACTTATATGTAGGAGCTGTACCTGCCCAGTAACTGTGTCCCCTGCCCCCAGCTAGGCATTCCTCGTCAAGAGTTTTAACCTGATGACTTACAGGATGCACTACAGAACATTTTAGACAGTTTTAAGCAGATACCGTAGCAACAATGTTTAAATGGGGTCTGTCATCCACACCCAGATTATTTCTGGTTCAAATGCATACCAGTCATAAAAGAACCCCTTAGTACTACAAAACTTTCTATTTTAAGCATCACAAACGATCACAGTTAAAAGCAAAACACCTTGTACACTTACGGTCAACCAGCTCCCGTGTCTGACCCTGGACGTGAAGGTACAGAGGACGATCTCTGTAGAGGAGGGAAACCGCAAATATCGCATTAAATCCACAGAAAACGTACAATAATAGATTCAATTTAATATCACAGCACTCAATAAACAAAGCTCTGCACTGAAGACTAAACTCCCAAAACATTCAAACGATATTTATGTAAATTATGAAGACCCTGATAACTACTAAAGTTATGCCACTGAAAACTATTACTTGCTTGTCCACGTGAAAAGTTAATTACAAGCCTTGCGTCTATGAAGAACTAGCTGGCTTTGCAATTGGAAGGTTGCCCGTTGGCAAAACACACAACAGATTCAGTGGAACATTCAGTACAAAGTAGTTCAGCATAGTCTGATCTGCCACATTTGTTTTTTTTTCCATTTCACTCTACCAATATCATGGAAGTAAGAATGCAGCTATGCAGTAAACATTATCGTAAACATTAGAAACACTCAGTAGTCAATTCACCCTGTCAGACAAAAGGAACAATGCTTAGGGGAAGAAGAAAAAACAAAATACAAACCCAGGTCCCACTTTTGCTTTCTCTTCTGCAGTCATGAATCTCCCTCGAGTTGAAACAGCTGCTCCACTCAGTCGACTTATCTATAGATAATTTTAAAAGATCTAGTGAAAAACCCAGTGAAATGTTTACCAGTAATTAACAAAAGAACAGTCCAAAAAATTAAACATCTATAAGCAGTTTAACTAAAGTGATAAGAGAATGAAAGGAGTCTGCTAAAGGATACTTGTTACCCTAGTTTACTTTCTCATATGACGTTTTATTAGACAAATGAGTAAAATGCTAAACGTGAAAGAACTAAGCCAGTGCCTTAAGACACATAACGAGTAGTTTCGGAGAAAGAAGAAACAACCGCTGAATACAGTTTACTGCTAGCTCCTTAACTTTACAAACAGGTGCCCATACAGCGCTGACAACCTTGGCAAATCAGACAGATCTTGAACATACCTCATCCTGAGTCTGTCCTCTTGTCAGCAGGTTTCTGCACGTGAGGGGCACATCATTGATTTCCACTTCTGCCACCACAAGGTCATCTTTACTTTTACTTGTAGCCGGACCTTTTCCCAGAGCCTGCAGCTTCAAAGAAGACCGTTGCAAAAGACTACTGGTAGAAAAACTTTGATAAACCATGTAACAAACAAATTGGCCCTGGTAGTCTAAGAGGTGAATATCCTTTTTGGTTCTCTCTTTTCCGCTGTTGACTCCACAAGCTTTACGAATATTAACAGAAAACATTAGTTACATCTGCTGTTTAACAACTTACGTCTTCATAACCTCAAACCCAGACGAAAGCGTTAATGGCTCTATTCTTAGGACGTTTTAACGTAATGACAATTTCTGTTTTATAAGTGGAGAAACAACCAGGTAGAACTAAGCAGAAGTATTGCTCAATTGGATGCCAAGGCATCTCACAGGAATTGCCACCTCTACCAATTTCTCTCAATTTCCCTTACGTATGCATGGGAATCATAACTTCTGTTCAAAGTATAAGCTTTTCCATACTAAGACTTCCTTTTTTACAACAGCAGAATACTCTGTGCAAGTCTCCAAGCGACATGCAAGAAAAATAATCGCAGAGTCACAGATAACTACAGAAAACATGCAGAAAAGGTGTAGTTAGAACAAAGGCCTTATACCTCGTTTCATGTACGGGTGGCTAGATAGTACTCCCTCCTAAAAATTCTACAATGCTTTTTGGGACATAAACATAAGACAGAGTCCTATAAAAACAGGACTTTCCAGTAACATGCTAGAAGTATTTATCCCCTCTCATAAATATCACGTGAAGCACAGCACTAGTATAAGAACCAGAGGACATGTGTAAATGACCATAATTCTCATGAGTTTTACATGCATTCTATCGCTCCATTCCTTCCGTGCTCTTTTTTAAAAAGAGATCACGTTCATAACACTGCAAGGCTTCTTAATTTCCATTCACCGTCCATCTAAAGTGGTGCTATCATTTAAAAACAAAGAAACACCCACTACTAAGTCACACACGTTAGAAAGGCTATAAAGGTAACTTTGGATACACAACCTACAGAGAACAATTTACGGTGAAAACGCAGCAGAGCATATTTGCCATTCTTATGTCATTTGTGAATAAATTCAATGACCAAATGAGTATTATGCAGATACTACTTCACAAGGCAATCCAATAGGATATGCAGGTCAGGTCAAAGAAAGCATCAGCCCCATCGTTATTACACACATGAAAAAGAACATACAATATGGTATAAAAACATGCTTTTTAGCTTTATATTTGAACTAAATAGGAAGGGAAACTTGAGACAGTCTTCTGATCTTGGTTCTAGCGTGGGCTATTAACATGCAGAAAAACAAGGCCGCTTCTGTTACTGAAACTGGAAAACAGTGGCTTTAAATTAAGATTTCTTTGTTTAGAACTTAAACACATACACCTATCGATGACTGGTTTAACAATGGGCTTCAACGTTTCAAATTGACAATTTTATACCAAAGTTTTTAGATCAGCAGCAGGATTTAGAAAAGATTTCTAAGACGCTTATTACCTTACTAAAGTTCAGTTCGGTTAAGCCTTCTAGAAGAGCAACCAGACTGAACGTACCTTGCAGCTAGGCCGGTATTTTAGGTTATTCAGAAAGCCTTAAGGAAACTTTTCTAATCGTTTCGCCTAAAGCCTAATCTACAAGGCGAAGGTCAGCCTCACGAGGAAACACTCCGAAAAACAAGAGCCGCGCGTCTTCGGGAAACGGGAGGTAACGCAGCCCCCTTCGCCACCCACCTTGTCGGCCGCGCTAGGCGCCGGCTTCAGCTTGCCTTTCGCCATTAACATCGCGTTGATTTTCGCGGCCCCCGCCGCGGCTGCATCCAGAGCTCCCGAGGGGGCCGCGG